ATACAAGTCAAGATTCTCAAGGAACCTTAACTTGCAAATCTCTGAGGGAAGATGAACAAGGTTCTGGCAGTTTTCCAAGTCCAAATAAATGAGTTTGCTAAGATTGCCAATGGACTGATGCACCTCGATCAAATTAATGCAGCCTCTGAAGATTAATTTCTCAATGTTTAAAAGACCTGAGATGTCAGAGGTTCTGATTAAGTCATGTGAATAACTGAGATCAAGGACTTTTAGATTTTTAAGAACCTGCAAGAAGGATAAGAGCCATTTAATGTTAATAAAAAAATTGTAACTCTAGTTAAGAATAATCCTATTTGAAACAAGAAACATATATACACAGCCATACCTTTGATTGCTCCCAAATATATTGGAGTTTGCTGTAGCATAACCTCAAGACAACCAATTTTTTGAGATTTAAACTAGGTGGTATAGATACCTGAGGATATCTTTCCCAACACAACCATCTTAACTCTTTAGAAAAATGTTCAAAGGTTCCGACAAAGTCAGCATTTTTAAGTTGGAGTATTCTTATTTTGCTCATCCGTGCAAGTGCTTCAATTCTAAATGATTTCACCCTTGTTTCTGGGAAGAACCCCTTAAGGCCTATGACTCTGTTTGTACCCTGATGACAATAAGCAATAACAATGTTTTACATAACAATTAATGTACTCCTTAAACAATTTATTGGAGACTGGACACTAAGCAAAGGCAATTGATGCTTACCTCATTGTATTTCAGAACCTTATGAACATCTTTATATAAGGACAGTCTACTGCGCTCACCAGGTTCACCAGGATTCTCTCTACGAACAATTTCTCTTGCCATCTCTTGAAACAGATCATGCATTCTCAGCTTCTTTTCTCTTATTGTTAAGAGGCATTTTTGGATAAGACTACGTAGGTGGATTTTCGTATGGAAGCCACAACCATCTAGTATTTGAATTGTATCGTCTTCATCCATCCCTACAAAGAAGAATGCAATGTCGAGAAAAATGGACTGCTGATGGTCATCCAGTGAATCAAAACTTATTTTAAGTCTTTTAAAAATATCTCCATGGGGGATACTTTTGAGTTTCTCCAATGCACTAGTCCACTCAAGTAGATTTTTGTCTGATAGGAAAGAACCCAGAACTTTAACAGCTAATGGATGTCCTCCCGCATATCTCACAATGTCATGAGAAAAGTCAGAATAATCATCTGGCGGAGAACGTAGTTGGAAGGCATGCCAACAAAAGAGTTGGTTAGCATAAGGAAAGTGCAAACTTGGGACCTCATACTTGGCATCCACTCCATGAGCATTTAGCAAATGTTCATCTCTACATGTTACTAAGATTCTACTGCCAGTGCCAAACCAACTTCTCTCTTTAGCAAGAGCTGCAAGTTGGTCCAAATGGTCAACATTATCTAGAATGATCAGAACCTTTTTGTGCTTCAATCGACCTCTAATCTTTCCAATTCCATCATCAACATCTCGTAGGTGCAAGTCTCGGACTCCTAAGATATCATATAGAAATCTCTTTTGCAACTCAACCAGTCCACCATGTCTTGATCCTAGCTGGACATCTTCAAGCATTAGCAAGCTGTTACCATCAAATTCCTTAGAGATTCTATTCCTAATTACCTTGGCAACTGTTGTTTTCCCTATTCCAGGCATTCCATAGATTCCTATGAACCGAACATCTGTGGAGTCAAGTGTCAAGAGTGATATTATTTCCTTCACTGGAGAGTCAATTCCAAAAAGGCGGTCCACATCACTAGGGTATGTGTGATGCACTTTTTCCCAAACATCATCAATAATTTTCTTGATCAACTGGGATTCATACCTGCTTGTTGTGAAGAGGATTAAAATTTGATGTTGGAAAACACAACAGAGATATCCAACTAAGTGCACTTTAAGGATATTTCTGCATACATTTTACATGTCTGAGTGCTATATGCTACACTACATCTACTAAAGTAATTGTAGGCATGAGAAAAGGCATTTTCAGTGCGGACCGTCTCAATAGAGAGAGAGAGAGAGACAGAGATTGGTAACAAGCGAAGAAATTTATCGTAATAATCATTCAAGCAAGAAAGAGATGAATGAAGTACCCATTGAAACTTTGAAGATCAAAGCCGGCAAGGTTCGCAGCATTGGTAAGGGCAGTCTTCCACCTCTCTACTTTGTCCGTGGTAACCTTCTGGTGACACGCAAAGGCTTCGCCAAAGATCCCCCTCTGGTTGCGGACGTCTGAGGGATCCACATGAAAGAAAACGGGTAGAACCATCTGCCCTAACTTGTCCCTGCAATCGAGGATTTTGACCAGCTCGTCCAGGCACCATCTAGAATCAGCATAGTTTTTGGAGAACACGACAATTGCAATTCTGGAATGCTCGATGGCTTCCAGTAGGCTGGGATCTATGTCGCTTCCTCTTGCGAGCTCATTGTCGTCTTTATATGTCCTGAATCCTTTCTTTACCAAAGCATCATAGAGATGGTCCACAATAGTTTTGCGGACGTCTTCACCTCTGAAACTCAAAAATACATCATAGTCCCAACTTGGGTTTGGTCGAAACGAATCAGCCATTAGAATCCA